AAAAAATTTGAATGGAATATATATAATTGTTAATAAATAATTTTAATTCAAAATTTAACTCAACTCCAGATTCTGTTGATCCTTTTCCGAATTATTGCATTTGAGCACTTTTACTCTATGATGGCTAGGGGGTTTCTGCAAAGTCCCACTCATCTCACTGACTAATTTGAGTATTTCTCATAATCTTCGTGATTATATAATGATTGATCTAAGATCTGCGTACTGCCCCGTGCAGTAGTGATTACTCTGAGATTAGATAGTGCTAAGTAGGGCAGCAAGTGTGTTATTTTATAAGTAGTACATCTGAAATGTATAAGATAAACCAAACCATATCAGCCAGAACAGAACATGTTAGATAAACGGTTCTGTCAATGGGGGCTATTCTGTAGAATTTTGAACCAAAACTACAGAATAGCCATCCTAAATGATAGCCACAATTAGTAATGACGACACTCAACAGACAATAGTAGGATGGAATGCTCAACTAAACTAAATTGCTTTAAATATTGATAAATCAGAATTGTCAAATGTAGATCGTATATGTTACAGATCACTTCAAATGTGATTGAAATAATTTTTAGTTTAATAAACTAATTCCAACTATCATCCAATTTACGACTTCAGAAGTGTAAATATCTTTACTCAGACTCAATAAGAGAAAGAAGAGGCTATAGTAGGACAATTTACCAAAGCTATATTGATTTATCGCATTTAAGTGTTCAGCGTCCTTTACCTGTTCACAGACTATTTTCAATTAAAACTTACCCATGCTCACAACTCTTCGTTCAAACAAGGTGCCTTGTAGATTGAATAATCATTCTGTATGAGAATGAGGCTACAAAACATTAAATAGTAGCTCGTACAGCACTGATGCATTAACGGAAGAATTAAAATTTGTTGAAGTAAATTTCTTACTACGATTTTTGAAGACATTTTACTCGAAGAAACACTTTAATTTAATGCAGGAGACATTTTGGATCTTTAGGGCACGGTGTTGAATTGCTCAGCTTAACAATCACTTGTCATTCAAATTAATGTTAATACACTTTTCAGTGCGATTCGTCATTACAAAGTAAGTGCCCTTGGTATTTCTTGATTCTCAGTGAAGGGTCACTGAGGAGTATCGTAATATAAAACTATTGTTTTAGATAGTATTTGAATTTATAGTTACTTGATTTTGTGAGATTGAATAGTCTTATTCCTTGGCATGTTTCTTTGGGATTACCAAAAGCCAGTAACCTTAGACATTTAGCAATCAGGAAGTAAGTTTCTAAAAAAACTGCAAACTCCGTAGAATGGGTAGGGTAGGGGTCTTCACATGGATAGTCTGTGGATAGTATATATCATGTTTTCGTTTTCCAGGACATGCGAATATAAAGAATGTGAACTCAAGTAATCATTCACATAATAAATACTGAGAATACTACCCCCGTTAAATGCATGATGCAAATTAATTTCGATGTTTAAAATATCAGTATATGTTTATATTTACTTTGCTTGATTGTGGGGAGTGTGAAATGACCTGAGGTTAAAAAACGGAAAAATTCATGCTTTATTCATAAATAATCTAGCAAATATAGCAAATCCTCGTTTTTTGTATTTTATATATTGTATGAAAATAAAACGGAAACGCTTAAAACTTACCAAAAAGTGCAACTATGCGACTATGTACAGTCGCACCAGGTAAAGTTGCTGTCAACAGTCAAAGCCGACTACGATGAATTTAATATGTTAAATCTGATCAGAAACAAAGTTTAAATAAAATTTGTGAAATATGAAATTTGAAATATGTTAGGGCAAAACTTTCGACACATTTCATGAATGCATGAATGCAAAATGTGGAGGTTTCCGAAGTATCTCAAGTGGCAAGCCGCATAAGCAGTCTTGCATTTTGTCGTACATTTCATTGAAAACACTTTCGCTTCCGTTCTGTAGGTTCTGTAGGTTCCGTACGTTCTGTGCTATTCACAGTTTTTAGAGGGTAAAAAGTTCATGAGACGGAATAGTAAAGGCCAAAGTGAGGTGTGGGTTGATACTCTTATGTTATATGAACTATGCATCTATTTAAACGACTGCTGAATATTTCAACTGTCAACAATTTGTCATTTATTCAAATAAAAATAATTTTCATTCTCGTCATTTAATGCAAGTGAAATACATAAAATAATTTATTTTATTTTGTTGAAAATTTCCTTGAAAAATTTTTTTTAATAACTTAACAGAATTTTTTCATTGTCAAATATATTATTTGGAATAATACGCGCAGGCATATTGATCTCATTAATGTGCTTCCCGAATATAATCAGCTCAATAGGAAAGCTGAGGTGTGTTGTTATAAGAAACTCATTCTTCCTTCTAGTTTGCTCATTTGTCTTACCAAACGGAAATCCAGGGATTATTTTCAAAAGCCACAACTATTTCGGAACTTGAAGACTTATATATCATTGTGTTAATAAAAATCTGTTAGCAATCATCGGTCCCATGTCTGTATTTATAAAATATTTATAATAACCCACATTCGTGATTGTTCACTTTTATTTGATAAAGTATACAACCTACGATCTCCTTATTTGGTTTAATATATTAGGCACAAACAAGCCTCATTAATTTTCTGATCTCCATTTTAATGAAGACCAACCTATCTTCACTCCTACTGCACTCTACAGATGAGGGTATAATGACCCCAAACGTAAGGTCTATATATAACCTAACTAAACTACTTCCTGGATTATATCTCAACTCCTTCACTAGCAATAAATATCAACTATCTTTACTTGTTTTCTGATGCTGTTAGGCTTTCAGAAATTTGAATTGCTAAATATCAATCACTTTGATCTATCCTATCTACACTTGATTGCTCGAAAGGAATTTCAGCTGTCGATTTTTATGGACCGACGATCGATGGTTTTCACAACTCACTGCTAAAACATTCCTTAATTAATTAATTAATTTTATTTTATATTTTATTCGGAGAAAAACCAGGTTTTAATAAACATATATTTCTATGTTAGGATTATTGCTATAAAAATTTTATTTTTATTTATAAAATTACAAATTATTATTTATGAACCCATGTAAATGAAACATAGATATCTGAAATTATATAGTGTTAAATTATTGAGTGTAAACTTTAAATATTGAGTTTAAAGAATATATAATCCAATATTAAATACTGAAAACATAGTATTCTCCTCATGTTTTTGTCTTAAGTAATCATGCAAAATGTGTTTTGAATACTCAAATTTCAAAACATTTGAATCAACTTCTTCATAATATATCAGATACAAATAAGGACAATATAAAAAATCAAACCTTATAATATTTACCATAATTCAACACTTTTTTTTACTGCAAGATATATTAATGTCATAAAACTGTTTCGCCCAAAAATTCATAAAATTTTCATTTTAACTGGTTGTAGTCTTAGCTGTGTCATCATGTCAACACACCTTTTTACTAGATGTGTTCATTCAACATAGCGAACAGCAACAAAGTATATTGAACATTAATTTGACATTTCCTCTATACAGCAATGTATGCTAGCAAAGTGGATTAAAATAAATTTTATTCATCGACTGTGTGTATTGTTATAATCATTAAAAATGCATATTATTCATATATATACATTCGCATTTCATATTTTGATTTTGTATTTTATTTGTTCATAATTTTTTATTTTTATTGTTTAACATTCGATTTGTAAAGAAAAAACACATGATTTCCATTGGATCTCATTCTGTATAAGTGAGTTCCAATGAGGTTGGAATATGTCGCAAATATGTGCCAAATGCAATTAATAAAAGCTTTTCATGGCATTTTGACAGTTTAAGAAAGCTGTTTTTGACAAATTTACAAACCAAGGTAAACATTTGTTTGGTGATTGCATTTCCTTGAAAACGATGCACCTCTTTTTAGAACTTCTACTTCCCAAAAAGTATTTAATTGAAGTTAAATATATGTTTTCAGTTTATATTGTAAGGTTTAAAGATATATTTAAACTTTGTGCAACATTTTTTTGGCACAGGCCAAATACTAAATCAACAGGCAAGTTGAAAAATCAACTATTTGAAATGAGAACAAATGAATTACAACGAATGTAAAAACTTTCAAATGACTCAATTGAAATGAGTCATTTTCGGCCAATGTAAATGCCATATAAAAATAAGAAAATGAAATTAATATTTTCTGTAAAGCATCGGTGCATTTGTTTCTATTTTTGTCGTGTGAACAGTTAGTTATTTTTCTAATTCTTTTTATATTTTGTTCTGCATATGTATATAAATATGTAATATTTTATGTATGATAAAAATCAAATTTATTTTTAATGAAAAAGTAATAGCAACAACAATTTAACAATATATAATTTAATCTGATTTATAAAATTTTTACGTATTAGGCTTGTCCTACGAGGTACTCGTAGGAAAACTCAAATAAAACATAAGTAAAGTCCAAACTGAAAGCATAACACAAATAATGTGGCAAATTACGCTCTTTACACAGATTTTCATGGAACTGTTTTGAGTAAAATTTGGTGACAACACCAGTGCAGCGCCAATCAAAATACAAAAATTTAAATTCAAACCAAAACAGCTGATTCACACATCACACAAATTTTACTTGTAATAAAATGTACGAGTAAAGTTTGTGTAGTATTTTAAAATTTTGACAGGGATGTTACTCTCTCTCAGAAGCTCTCATTTACTCAAAAATTTGTTGGTGGAAAGCATTTGTGTATACACAGTGTTACTCAAAGTTACTATGAGTAGTTTGTGGAACAGACATATTATAAACTTTAAATCTGTGGTATATAAAAGCATTAGTTCGTTATAAAATCATTTAATTTTTAACATAGTACTTGTTGTTTAGAATAAATTTATATAAATTTTTTATTTAACTAAATTCAAGCGAAGTGATAAAAAAATCATTTTACCACACACAATTACAAAATAAATCATAAATATTTCGACGCAGGTGATAATTTAAATGTCAAAATTTCAATGTAATTCTATTTTTGAAAAAAAAAACAAGGTGGCATCACAACACGAGTTTCGTAGATAAAGAAAGAAAAAAGAGCAAAAAAAGCCGCAAGTTAGTCAGTGGAAAAAGAAATTAATTAAATTTAATTAGTTGTTGGAAATATAATAGATTTTCTATTTCAAAATTCTTTCAGTTGTGTACGTTTTATCAAAAGAGCAACGAAAAGAACGAAGTTACACTTTTCAGTGTAGTTTTTGTGGTGAAAAATGCGTGTAACAAATTTTTTCAGCAGCAATGCGGGAACGCTTACGCTTGTAACACTTCTGCTGCTGGGTTCGCTGCAATTTATTGCTACGGACACTGCGGAAGACTTCGAGGATGGCGAAGTAGAGGATGTACAGGTAAGCGATTCAATGAATGAAATGCATCTAATTTAATGTATTCAGTGGAGTTTGAACGTAAAAATTAGTAAACTGGGTCACAGCACACTTAATGCAATAAAAGTTCATTAAAATTGATTAAGTGAAAATTTATGCCTGATCTGCGGCTAGCACACCTCAGCCAATTGTTCTGGCGCTGATTGGTACACGTCAGTTTTTAATGTCAATCAGCGTGTTTTTTTTTTTCAAAAATTATCAGCAGAATGCAATCTATATTTAATTTGAAAATTAGAATACTTTCATAATTTGATACTAATTAAAAATTTTTAATTAACTGCTGCAGTAGTACATTTTGTACCTTAACCTCAAATTAGTTTTTGTTAACTTCAGTTCGTTGCTAAAGGAAACATAACACGTAATTTGCATTTAGTTAATTAAATTTAAACAAATATTAAATATGAAAAATTAATAAAAGCCTTCAAAGCTTGTGTCGATTTGTGCACGTTTTTTTCATGAAATCCTCTTAGTGACAACAAAAAACGCGCGTTTAGTACTTTTATCATTTTGAGATATCTATCTAATCTCAACTGTCTTTAAAATTTTAAGCAATTGTTTAATTTTGACTTATCAGTTATTGCCAGTAGTTATACTTTTTTAATTTATTTTATATTTCAATTTATAGGATGAAACTACTGGTGCGCTGAGTGATAACGGCGAAGAACTTGTCTATGAGAGTCCAAAATACGATGCTTCAAAATTCCATTTTGTTGATCATTTTGATAATTTAGAGGAGTCCCGTAAACGTTGGACGAAATCTCAAGCCAAAAAAGATGATACAGCTGAAGAAATAGCTAAATATGACGGAAAATGGGAATGGGAAGCACCTCAGCGCATTGTTTGGAAAAAAGATATTGGCTTAGTACTTAAATCGAAAGCCAAACATGCAGCCATAGCAGCACCGCTCGTCAAACCATTCTCATTTGACGGCGATAAGCCGTTGGTAGTACAATACGAAGTAACATTACAGGCAAGTGCTAAGTGCGATGTGGTTGTTAGTTTACATTGCTAATCCAATTAAGAAGTTCATACTGACCTATTTTTTGGTTTTTTTCTTTTTTTTTGTTGAATTTGAATTTTTAGGATGGTCAAGAATGTGGTGGTTCTTACATTAAATTGTTATCTGAAGGCAAATACACAAAAGACTTAACTAAGGTAAATAAACAAAAATGAGTATGTGTTTATTTATTCTTCTATATAATAATTAACTTCATTTCCAGTTTAACGATAAGACACCATACACTATTATGTTTGGCCCAGATAAGTGTGGTAATGATCATAAGATGCACTTTATTTTCCGTCACACTAATCCAATTAATGGCAGTATTAGTGAGAAGCACTGCAATAAACCTAAGTAAGTTTACTAAGTATTTACGCAAAATATATTATGATTTCATCATAAAAAATTCATTAGTGTAGTTTATAATTTAATTGGTTAAAGTCTTAACAAATTGATCAAAGTAATTGTGAATATGCACAAAGTATTAAATAAATTGAATGGGAAAACCAGTTGGGGGCAGGTTGTATGTAATAATGTTCAACTTACTTTATTGAAAACAAATATATTTTTAACTAATTATTCATTATTTGTAAATTTTCGGCTACTTTATCTTATTAATACATACGAATTAGTTAATGAAATATGTACTTTAATACTATATAGTTAAAATCATATATTGCTCTTTTCTTTAATTATTGTAAAATGTTCTATTTTCTATTATAAAGAATTACAAACTTATATGCAAAGGGTATGTTATGTTTACCATGATTTGTGTAACGCAATTCAGTAAGCGTATAAAATACATATTTGGAGTCAGCTGAGGGTAGGTCAATTCAGTAATATTTATATATCCTTCGAAAGACCGGGGCTACCTCTTGCAGCCACTCGTTTTCATTAGACTTACTACAATAGCAAGGGCAACCGCAATATATCGAGCTAACATCAGCTAGTTCGAATCACTGTTGTGCTGCAACAAAGTTATCAATAGACTCCACATTACTAACTACCGGTATGAACGACGCCTTTCCCGAGCAGCAAGAACTATCCTAGCTTAATAGAGATCATGATATAGTTATGTACTAAACAGTTATATGTCACGTATATTAACTGAAGTATAAGACGTCGCTGGTATAATCATGTTTTTTTATAGTTTTGCTTTTAACTGCTATTGTATTTTTTTTATTGCACAAAACATTTGGTACTGCTTTCCAACTCTGAAACCAACTTAAATGCATTTATTATTAAAATAATAATAAATATTTTTATCTATTTAAGGAGCCGCCTAGAGGAACCATTTAAAGATAAATTACCTCATTTGTATCAGTTGGTTGTACGTCCCGACAATACATTTGAAATTCGTCTGGATCATGAAATTATTAATCAAGGTTCCCTATTAACAGAATTTAATCCACCAGTTAATCCACCACGTGAAATTGATGATCCTGAAGATATAAAACCCAAAGATTGGGATGAACGTGAAAAAGTAAACCAAAATGAAGTTCTTCAATTAGATAGATATATGTATATATATACAATTCTTATTTTACTTCTTAGATACCAGATCCTACCGCACAAAAACCAGCAGATTGGGATGATGATGCACCACCACAAATACCTGATCCAACTGCTGTTAAACCAGACGGCTGGTTGGATGATGAGCCTGATATGATTCCAGGTATGACTTGATAATACTATTTAAATTATAACTAAATTTCTAATTAACTCATTTTACTATTAGATCCTACTGCACAGAAACCTGAAGATTGGGATACTGAAATCGATGGTGAATGGGAAGCTCCGCTGGTCGATAATCCTGTTTGTGAAAAGGCTGTTGGTTGTGGTAGCTGGAAAGCACCACTTGTACCTAATACCGAATATAAGGGTAAATGGCGTGCACCATTAATCGACAATCCTAATTATCAAGGCAAATGGGCTGCTCGTAAAATACCAAATCCCGATTACTTTGAAGATAAGAATCCATTCAAAATGACTCCAATTGTAAGTTAAGTTTTAAAAATGTGTAGAAATCATATTATTATTGTTGTATTATTGTATTACTTTTAGTCTGCTATTGGTATTGAGTTATGGTCGATGTCAAGTGACATACTCTTCGACAATTTACTTCTCACTGATGACATCGCTGCCGCACTTAATTTTGCTGAACAAACTTTTAATCTAAAACGCAAATATATTGATAAGGAATCGGTAAGTTGTTGATTACAATTTGTTTCTGCTGTTATTTAATATGATATTTTAATGATATTTAAAATCAATACTCAAAGAAAACATTCTGGCATCGTTTAATGAAACGTATGAATTATAAGCCCGGCTGGTGGGCCTTGTATTTTCTATATTTGCTTATACCGGCGAGCTGTTATGTGTTCTACTTGTACCGCCGTGCTAAAGAGGTTGACAGTGACACAATTAAAATATATACATTTAAGCTAGTTTATGCTTACTTCTATGTACATATTTTGTTTGATGAAAAATATCATGTACAATAAATGCTACTATAATGTTCTTTGGGATCTAAAAGTCTTGATAAGACTTTCCCACCACAATTTTCTGCGATGTTGCTGCAATTGTATTTTTGGAAAATATTGTTTATTTGTATGAATATGAATCTATACAAAAACAATAGGTTTTTACGTTATATATTTATAGAAATCGCTAGTCTAGTGTATTTATTATTTATTATTTAGTCTAGTGTATTTATTTTATTATTTAATATTAATTTGCACATTTTCACAATTTTCTGCTCATCACGCACTTAATTTCGCTTGCTTATGTAGGAAACTTTCGTGAATAAAGTAATGGCTTATGCTAATGCGAACCCTTGGGCTTGGAAAATTGCTCTTTTCCTTATCTGCACCCCGGTAGTGTACAGCTTGACTCGCATGTTTTCAAAGAAAAAGGTAATTACTTTGCTTTTTTGTATATTAAGGATCGCCCAAGCAAAAATGTTTATACAATAAAAATATATTGAATTTATTTATTAATTATTACATTATATGTAATGTTTATGTAATGTAAAATATTTATATTTATTATATATACGATTATTTCTAAGTTAAGTATTCACACTCATTTTTAATAATTATTGTTTAAAGAGCAATTCAGTGTTTGTTTGGCACTAACTTATTTGAATTTTTAAAAAACACTTTCCAGCGTAATTTCAAAACACTATGTTGTTCCTTAAATATGTTGAAAATTTAATTGGGTAATAATAAAAGTATTTTAGAAGTCCTAGTAAGAAATTCTACAAAAACTTTTGGGATAAAAGTATATAACCATTTGGGATAAGATAGCATTGGAAACATCGAACATTTATTATGTTACTGTCCAGCTTTCCAAGCAAAGAGATAGTGACAGAGCTGAACATAGTTGATCTATATCGACAGGTTGCCAATGATTACAAAAATATCGTTCACCACATAAAACAAAAAACTTATTCATAAAAAATGGATAAGAAAATGTCAAATATCACAGTGGCTCGAAAACCTCAGTGTAATAAAACTTTAAAACTTTACTGAAACTAGATGCTTTTTTTAGGAATAGATGGGAGACGGGAGATATCCAAAACTAATAAAATGTTTAAATTTTGTTACTGAAACGAAACGGTTAATCAGAAATGGATTAGAATATGACAGATATTCTTCTGGCATCACAATGTGTCCCAGCTCTTTTATAAAATTTGTTGCTTTAAATGAATGGTTCAGCAAAAACTAATGATTAGACAAGAGATACTGCATAGTATCTTAATGGATTCCAGGCTTCAATCCTAAGATTGACACAACTTTTAAAATTTGTTATTTAAACAAAATGGTTTATCAAAACTGAATGAGAAGTGGAATTATATCTCCATGGTGTCACAATGGGTCCCAGATCTGAGTTGCAAGACCAACTAAACTTGTGGCTAATTGGACAATTTAGTTTCCTGAAGGTTATTATTAACGATTAGCGAAATAACTGAATAAAGAATGACCCACCATCTACACTAGGTAAAGTTTGGCATAAGATATTTGTTCGTAAATTCGAATATAGGTATACTTTGCATTCGAACATAAAAATCTTGTTAAAATATAGGTAGTGTAGACATCAAGTAAATTAATTAATTAATGTTTCATGATTAATTAATCCATGATTAATTAGTCTATACAAAAGTGAAATATATAGTTTTAAATAATATCCATCGTTATTTTTAAAATTTATTGTATCTTTATGTATTTTTTTATAAACATTTTGTTTGGTTGATCCTTTTAAATGTAATGTAATGTATTTATCATAATTTCCTAATAATGATGTATTTTATTATCACTTAAAAGGATACCGGAGATGATGCAAAGAAGACTGATGAAGTACAACCAGATACCGTAGATGAAGACGATGACGTTAAAGAGGAATTAGAGAATGATGATGCAGATAAAGAAGTTGATACTCCTCTCTCTACCACAGGAGCTAGTCACAGAGCAAAAAAGTCTGATTTAGATATAAATGAAGATAATGATGCAGAAGAAGATAACGAAGCAGATGATGCTACAGAAGAAGTTAATACAGAAGAGACTGAAGTAAATAAATAAAATTTAGCCATATAAAACTCATAAATAATGTTAATATTCAATTTTTAGGAAACTGCTTCCATATCTCCAAAGGGTGCTCGTAAGCGTCGTGTGCGTAAAGATCAGTCCTAAATGCTAAGAGTTTTATTTCATCTTATACTTAAAATTCCAAAAACAAAAAAAATGTACAGATGAAAATTTTGCATTCGTCGCAAATAGTCGACACCGGCTGTACGCTCAGAAATCAGAAAAGCTTTTCTATCTCAATATATAATAAAACAATTCACCACGAAATTATTCTGAAAATTGTAATTTAGATAAAAAGCAATTAGAAATTTAAATTTAGTTAAAATAAGTAAGGAAAGTGTGCGCATTTGTATTGTGTAGTAAATATTTTATGGCGTTTTTTAGTTTCTGTTTTTGAATAACGTTCTCATTTTAGTATAAAATGTGTCGAACTTGTGTTTTTTGCTTCACCTTAAGTTAATATTATTTCAACAAAAGTTTAGCTAATTAAAAATAAAACAAAGTTTTTTGTTTTTAATTTTTATTAATTTATCAAAGGGAACAAAAAAGTATTTACAAGATTTAAGTTGGAAATAATAATGTACTTCAATTTTATAAACATATACATAAACATTTAATTTCTAATTTTAAACTAATAATTAATAAACATTTATTTAAACAATAATCTCTGTTTTTATCATTAACATATATATTCTATAGTATATATACTTAACATAATATAATTCCAAGTGCGAAGCAATATAAATTTTTAAAACTATTTTTCAATAGTTATAAAATTTTTAAAACTTCTTCAACCAAACTATTAGGTACAAAATATAAAATAAAAAATATTTATTTGTATTTGTATCAAACAAAAAAATATTCACTTAAATGCATAATAAATGCTGAAATTTAATATTTTAAATTCTCCAGTATATATAATATTTAATTTTCATTATTTTAATAAGTAATATTTTCATTATTAAGTATAAGTGAAATAGTAAAATATATAAATATTTTACGTATATAAAACAAAACTGAAATAATACATATATTAATAGTTCATTACTATACAAATACAAAAACACAAAAAAATATAAATTACATTAACTTATTTGAAATGATTAAATTTTATTTTAAATTTAATATTTAGAACAATTATAACAATAACAATTATATTATTATATGATTATATTATTTTTATTAAACTTAATTGCTACCAAAAGCTTACTTGCGTTTTCTAGAACTTCTGGTCAACATTGGGTGAACTGATGGTGCTGGTGCTGGTGCTTGTGGTAATGTTGTAGGAATTGGCGTAAGAATTTCACTCGCATCTAGTTCAGAATTTCTAGTTTGCGTGGCAGCGTTAATAGACACAAACCATTCATCACTGTTATGCTGCCGAGCACGTTCTATTGAAGTTGTAGGCGTATCAGTATCAGTAGCATGAACTATATTTGTAAATAAACGCCTTTTGCTCGGACCAGGTGCCAATGGTACAGCCGGCGGAGCATTCACACTTATTGGTGTGCTGGAATGATTTGGCTCACGTGACAAGCCCGAGGAACGCGTCGTATTTTGGGTAACTGTACTGTCTATTGGTACGAAATTTTTCTTCTTCAATTTAAATTTACCCACTAAACCTCGGCCCGTAACATTTACTACTTGTCCAGTAGTTATCCACGCTTTTACAAATTTTTTAATCAGTGTTATTCTAATTGGAGACAGCGTGATCTCATATTTTTCAGCAATATGTCGTTTTAGTTTTACAAGAGATACCCCTTGCCTGGAGTATAATTCTTGTAACGACTCGATTAACATATCGCGTGTAGTTTTCATTTTTATTTTTTAGTTAAATTAATTTGCGTTGGACAATTAAGAATGCAATTCAAGACTGATCAATGCTGTCGTGAACTTTTTGAATTCTCTTTGCTTTTTGCAAAAGTTTGGAAAAATAGCGTTAAAAAACAAAAGAAATTGTTAAAAATGTAACGGTTCTGCATTAGCTCGCGCTACACTTCAAATGTCAATAGTATCAATTCTTCACAAACAGAAGAAGTGAAGATGAAATTTAACTCATCATATTTGACATATATGCAATTTTAAAATTTAAATAAATTGAATTGTAACCACTAAAATGAAATAAACAATGTTCACATATGTAAGTGTAGAAAACACAAATGTTTTCTTATTTAATATAAGATCGTTGTTCAATGCAGTGCAGCCGCAACTGTTGTTGTTTTTCTTCAAAACAAGGGCATGTAGAAATAATTTTGCAGAATAATAACAACAGCGACAATAACAAATAGAAAAGAAAAAAAAATGAAGTGCCCTAAACGTAAAGACAACAACAAAGGCGAGCAACGTAAACAACATTAGATCAATTTCCAACATTTGTAACAATTACAACAACAACATGGCAGCATTATCAACATATTTTGTTCATATTCTAAATAAATATTTTAAAACAAATACTTCGTAGATCATTTTCAGTAATAAAAGAATCGATAATATTTAACTAATATTAGTTGTTGATATTTTATGGGAAAATAGTAGGAAAATTTTGGATTGAACATGGAGTTGTTTTGGATATTGCCAAGTAATGTTGGTTTTTAGAAGTTCCAAATTAATTTCATCAGTCGACTTATACTGACTGTAGTAATTTATAGAGGCTCTTAACATATAGTTTTTTTTGGATATAGTTAGTGGTTTGTTTGTTTGTTAAATAATTGAAATGAAGTATTTTTTTATGTATTTTTTTTAAACAATAAATTGCTAGCATATATATAACAAACACATGGTTTGTATATTTGATATATATTTTTGTATATACTTATTTTATATATTGTTAAGAGTATGTCAGCTGGTAAACCTCAAATAAGTCTATTAAAACGATGGCATATTATATCGTATTATTTATATATTTTACATTTCTGTTGCTGTTATTTTTTTTAAGTGTTTTAATAAAAGTTTAAAAAAACTCAAAAACAACAAAATGAATCAGAGTTATTGGACCAGTAATTGTATATGTATATAAATACATATCTCATATCTACTATATATGGAGATATATGCATTTTGGTGAATATTTAGATTGCAGTACACTTTTTACCATTTCTATCCCAAAATGTTTATTATTTATATAATTTGAAGTTACATACCAAGTGCCGTGCCAACCACATGCTTTTCTACAATTTCTATTTTATATATTTATATATGTATATATATATGTATGTGCATATATTATTTTATTTTATTAATTTTGTTTTTATGTTTTCAAAATCGAAAGAATCATCCTATGGCAGCCCCCTCTACGTAAAAGGATTAAATTTTTACTAACGATGGCTCCCATATCAAGCTTATAAAAGCACTGAAAAATAATAAGAAATATTAAAAAAATCGTCGTCGTGTTTGGTAAAATATACTTATATTAAGGATGACCCAAGCAAAAATGTTTATGCAATATATATCTATTGAATTTTTTTTATTCATTATTACATTTAAACATATATGTGATATAATATATTCGATTGTTTCTTAGTTAAATATTGACTCTAATTATTTGCTATTAATGTTCAAGGCCTAAATAAGTTTTTTTTTTGACACTAAACCAGCTTATTTGAATTTTTAAAAGACACTTTACAGTGTAATATCAAAATACTATCTTATTAATTAACTATCTTGAAAATAAAATTGGTTAATAATAAAAATATTTCCGAAGTCCCAGTAAGTAGTTCTACAAACATTGTTGGGATGAAAGCATAGAAGAACCATATAAAATTTATTATGGTGCTTTATGACGGTTTTTGTCAGTCGTAAAATCTCCCTTCCAATGTCACTGTCTTTTGTTCTTTATCTAGTCCATTTGGGTTAAGCTATTTCTTGCACATTAGGACACATTCGTACCTGTTCGTACCACCCCTTTTGCAATTTATAATTCAAGCATATTGGTTATAACAAAACCTAAAGTAATCATAATAGATGTGTCTTATTTTATTTCAATTAAAGTATATAAAAAAAAGAATTTATAATTTTTTTTATTTTCCATTATACATTATTTCCAGGTACAAAATCAGCACAACTTTAACTAAAAAAAATTAATTCTTATTCAACAATATACGTAAAAGAAATAATGTAAAAAAAAATTGTAATAAACAAAAAAAAATAATTCTTATTCTAATCAAAAAAAAAAAAACAGAAAGAGGAAGAGAAGAAAAAAAACTATGCACGAAGCAATAAAAACAATTTTTCTTTGCCTTGCCGGGCACTTACCACAACTGCTCTAATGACGTCACTAGCGCGATGGGTGTATTTAGATAAACCAAAAGAAATACTATCGACAAACAAAAAAATAATAAAAGAAAAAAAGTCCTTTTTTTCTCTACTTCTCTGATCCTTGAGCAATGTTAATAAAACTTATGTTACTCATCTTATTATTTAATATACATTATTCTACCGTAGTGACCACTGTTTTGTCGTCAGTGCTGTCCACCTTGCTGTTGCTGCCACCGTTACATTTCCTTATTATTTCTAAAGCACCATATAACTTTAATTTAAATAAAATAGTTTTTCATGAATTAATTGTTTATTTAACATTCTAATTTCAATTTTTTATTTAAATAGGATAGTTTTCAAAAATTTATAGGTTTACTTAGTATTTTAACTTTTACTTTAATTTTGGTTTAGTTTATATTTTTATGTTCGATTTTTAATTTAAATAAGATAATTTTTCAAGAACTTACAGTTTGAGTTAATATTTTAACTTTTACTTTAACTTTAAATAAAACTTATTTTTCACTTTTAATTGGTTTAGTTAATATATTTTAACTTCAATTTAATTTTTTATTTGGAACAAAAAAATAGTTTCAGTTTTATTCAGAAAAGAACAGTATCAAAAGAACAACTCCAAAAACCGTAGAAAAAGAAAAAGACAGCATCCACCGCGAACTACCCTTTTTATATCTCCTATTTTTCCGTAATCCAGAGTCCTGTTACTCTATAAAGAGTTTCTTGAACTTAGTTAGTGTGCCGCTTTCCAGTTACTAATTGTAACTATTTACATTTACAAAACTTGTACACTTGGCAGCATTCTCTCATTTTTTTCGTCCAGATCGTCCAAAGCTTTCGCCTTCCTTCGCTTTGCTTTGAATAATCAAAAGAAAGAAACGAAATGCAAAAGCTTTTGGGCACATTTTATTTCTTTTTGACAGGCACGTGCAATGCATATTAAAATTAAAACAAATAATTAAATTGCACATTTTTAGTTAAAATCAAAAATATGACATGTGGACATCAGCTTAGGGTAATTATATGTAATACTATTATTTTGATTTAATAATCATTTAATAATCATTTTATATAGGCATTGGGTGAACTGATGGTGCTGGTGTTGGTGCCTGTGGTAATGTTGTAGTAATTGCCGTTGGAATTTCACTCGCATCTAGTACAGAATTTCTGGTTTGCGAGACACCGTCAATAGACACAAAACATTCATTCATCACTATTATGCTGCCGAGCACGTTCTATTGAAGTTGTAGGCGTATCAGTAGCGTGAACTACATTTGAAAATAGACGCCTTTGCTGGGACCAGGTGCCAATGGTACAGCCGGCGGAGCATTCACACTTATTGGTGTGCTGGAATGATTTGGCTTACGTGACAAGCCCGAGGAACGCGTCGTATTTTGGGTAACTGTACTGTCTCTTGGTACGAAATTTTTCTGCTTCAATTTAAATTTACCCACTAATCCTCGGCCTGTAACATTTACTACTTGTCCAGTATTTATCCACGCTTTTACAAAATTTTTAATCAGAGTTATTCTAACCGGAGAAAGCGTGATCTCATATTTTAGTGCAATATGTCGTTTTAGTTTTACAAGAGATACCCCTTGCCTGAAGTATAATTCTTGCAAAGACTCTATTACCATATCACGTGTAGTTTTCATATTTATTTGTTAGTTAAATTAATTTGTGTTGAACAATTAAAAATGCAATTTAACATTGAAATGAAATAAAACAATGCTCACATACATATGTGTACAAAAGAAATGTTTTTTATTTAATACATGATCATTGTTCAATACAGTTGCAGTCGCAACTGTTGTTGTTTTTCTTCAAAACAAGAAAAAAAAATGAAGTGATCTAAACATAAAGACAATACCAAAGACGCATTCAAGCCAGCAAAGGCGAGCAACGCAAACAATATTAGATCAATTTCTGACATTTGTAAACATACAATTTATAACAATTACAACAACAACAGAGCAGCCACTGTACAGTAGCGAAATTTAAAATGGCCATCATCTGAAGCAATGTTGGCACTACACAATGTACGACCATAATTTCAGCTGGAGTATGAATAACCTCATAGGACTTTACTTGTTCCACGACTTGCAAGGGAGTAATACGTCTTAAAGTTGGAAAGGCAGTTATACGTCTCTCTGAACAAGACATTAAAATTAAGTCAATGTAGTTATATATCTTGACTAGTAAAATTCAAGTTAAAATAATTCAAGTAGAATTCTAGTTAAAAAAAATAATTAGTCAATGTAGTTAAACTTCTTGACCAATAATATTTTCTTTAGAATTTATGCTAACATTGATAAACACTGATCAAAGTTAAAACCTAGCATAAAATTCTAATCCCAAACTAACGAGATTTTCTTCTAAGACTAGCAAGAGGTGTGTCGTCTGACAATAACACATCGATAATATAGGTCTTGAAGGTCTTGAACAATTGAACAAGATTGAACAGCTTCCAGAAAATAATCACAGTCGTCAAATTATTAAACTACCATTATATTATAAACCACATTCCTAAATTTTCTTTCAAATATAAATTTGAATTATTCTATCAAATTGTCTTTAACTTCCGAAAATAGTATAAAATATTGCAACGACATCTGGACAACAGGTAAGCATACCCCAGCACTAGTAATGAATAAGAGAAGTCGTTATAACATATGTGTTAGTTTATAATTGAAATTCCTATCTAAATTAGTAGGTTTATTAATGTTTATGTGAATATTAAAATAAATATTATATTTAAATAAACATATACAGTAAAATTGATAAGTGATCATTTTACATACCATATATGTAGATTGAAACCAAGAGATCTTATCAAAGTCTTGCTAATGCAGGTTAGGTTAGGTTGGAGTAGCGTTTTTTTGCCCAAAGCCCACTTAAGCTCAAATAATGGCCCATTGTGATGCCACAGGATTAGCATTTCTACATGCGCCGACTAGAGGTCAGCGCACAAGCAATGTGGAAATGCACGACTCCCCCATTAGGTAAAGATGAGCCAACCTAACAATTCTATCAAATTGACTAAGCCCCTAATTTTGCAGGATGATGGCTCTATTAGGTCAGTAAGGAAAGGGGCCTAGACGATTTTAGATCTCCTAACTAAAGATGGACACTGACATATGTGATTGAGCACAGTTTCCTCCTCAACCGCAGAGCCACAACCTCGACGAAAGTCATTATAAGCTAAATCTAGCTTCATAGTATATCTTTCTATTACACAGTGAACCGTCAAAATAGATACCGTAGTACTGAGTAGTTTATTTTTTTGAATAGAACTGAAATTCACAATTTTTCTTTTTCGCACCAACACTTTTAGCTAGTGTACGGGTAGGGAAGATCCAATTGTATAGTAAGAAATGTACAGTGAAATTTTTGAAATTTTTGTTTGAACACTAAAATTTTAGTACATCTAATAACGTTACCACTTTATTGCTTAAAAAGTAGACAAGACAGAAACACCAACGGCTGATCATAGTTCCAGGGTTGCATATATTACTTTGTTAAATATAGATAGGCGTGACACTGAGAGCATAAAAAATGTGCTTATCTTAGAAGTAACATTAACTAAAGCAGTGCAACGGAAGAAGGTGTTGGAGTTCATATAAACAAGCTAAAAAGCATCCTCGGACGATAATGAATATATCAGTGAACTTTGTGATTTTTCATTGCTGGAATTTTTGAACTGCAAGTGATAGGTATCGAACCCTATCAAATAAGAATCATAGACTCACATTTTAATATACGAAACCGAATGTCACATTTATATTACGTTGCTCAAATTTGTAGAGATGATGGTATTATTTTTAAATTTATTGTATCTTTATGTATTTTTTTATAAACATTTTGTTTGGTTGATCCTTTTAAATGTAATGTAATGTATTTATCATAATTTCCTTATAATGATATATTTTATTATCACTTAAAAGGATACCGGAGATGATGCAAAGAAGACTGATGAAGTACAACCAGATACCGTAGATGAAGACGATGACGTTAAAGAGGAATTAGAGAATGATGATGCAGATAAAGAAGTTGATACTCCTCTCTCTACCACAGGAGCTAGTCACAGAGCAAAAAAGTCTGATTTAGATATAAATGAAGATAATGATGCAGAAGAAGATAACGAAGCAGATGATGCTACAGAAGAAGTAAATACAGAAGAGACTGAAGTAAATAAATAAAATTTAGCCATATAAAACCCATAAATAATGTTAATATTCAATTTTTAGGAAACTGCTTCCATATCTCCAAAAGGTGCTCGTAAGCGTCGTGTGCGTAAAGATCAGTCCTAAATGCTAAGAGTTTTATTTCATCTTATACTTAAAATTCCAAAAACAAAAAAATGTACAGATGAAAATTTTGCATTCGTCGCAAATAGTCGACACCGGCTGTACGCTCAGAAATCAGAAAAGCTTTTCTATCTCAATATATAATAAAACAATTCACCACGAAATTATTCTGAAAATTGTAATTTAGATAAAAAGCAATTAGAAATTTAAATTTAGTTAAAATAAGTAAGGAAAGTGTGCGCATTTGTATTGTGTAGTAAATATTTTATGGCGTTTTTTAGTTTCTGTTTTTGAATAACGTTCTCATTTTAGTATAAAATGTGTCGAACTTGTGTTTTTTGCTTCACCTTAAGTTAATATTATTTCAACAAAAGTTTAGCTAATTAAAAATAAAACAAAGTTTTTTGTTTTTAATTTTTATTAATTTATCAAAGGGAACAAAAAAGTATTTACAAGATTTAAGTTGGAAATAATAATGTACTTCAATTTTATAAACATATACATAAACATTTAATTTCTAATTTTAAACTAATAATTAATAAACATTTATTTAAACAATAATCTCTGTTTTTATCATTAACATATATATTCTATAGTATATATACTTAACATAATATAATTCCAAGTGCGAAGCAATATAAATTTTTAAAACTATTTTTCAATAGTTATAAAATTTTTAAAACTTCTTCAACCAAACTATTAGGTACAAAATATAAAATAAAAAATATTTATTTGTATTTGTATCAAACAAAAAAATATTCACTTAAATGCATAATAAATGCTGAAATTTAATATTTTAAATTCTCCAGTATATATGTATAATATTTAATTTTCATTATTTTAATAAGTAATATTTTCATTATTAAGTATAAGTGAAATAGTAAAATATATAAATATTTTACGTATATAAAACAAAACTGAAATAATACATATATTAATAGTTCATTACTATACAAATACAAAAACACAAAAAAATATAAATTACATTAACTTATTTGAAATGATTAAATTTTATTTTAAATTTAATATTTAGAACAATTATAACAATAACAATTATATTATTATATGATTATATTATTTTTATTAAACTTAATTGCTACCAAAAGCTTACTTGCGTTTTCTAGAACTTCTGGTCAACATTGGGTGAACTGATGGTGCTGGTGCTGGTGCTGGTGCTGGTGCTTGTGGTAATGTTGTAGGAATTGGCGTAAGAATTTCACTCGCATCTAGTTCAGAATTTCTAGTTTGCGTGGCAGCGTTAATAGACACAAACCATTCATCACTGTTATGCTGCCGAGCACGTTCTATTGAAGTTGTAGGCGTATCAGTATCAGTAGCATGAACTATATTTGTAAATAAACGCCTTTTGCTCGGACCAGGTGCCAATGGTACAGCCGGCGGAGCATTCACACTTATTGGTGTGCTGGAATGATTTGGCTCACGTGACAAGCCCGAGGAACGCGTCGTATTTTGGGTAACTGTACTGTCTATTGGTACGAAATTTTTCTTCTTCAATTTAAATTTACCCACTAAACCTCGGCCCGTAACATTTACTACTTGTCCAGTAGTTATCCACGCTTTTACAAATTTTTTAATCAGTGTTATTCTAATTGGAGACAGCGTGATCTCATATTTTTCAGCAATATGTCGTTTTAGTTTTACAAGAGATACCCCTTGCCTGGAGTATAATTCTTGTAACGACTCGATTAACATATCGCGTGTAGTTTTCATTTTTATTTTTTAGTTAAATTAATTTGCGTTGGACAATTAAGAATGCAATTCAAGACTGATCAATGCTGTCGTGAACTTTTTGAATTCTCTTTGCTTTTTGCAAAAGTTTGGAAAAATAGCGTTAAAAAACAAAAGAAATTGTTAAAAATGTAACGGTTCTGCATTAGCTCGCGCTACACTTCAAATGTCAATAGTATCAATTCTTCACAAACAGAAGAAGTGAAGATGAAATTTAACTCATCATATTTGACATATATGCAATTTTAAAATTTAAATAAATTGAATTGTAACCACTAAAATGAAATAAACAATGTTCACATATGTAAGTGTAGAAAACACAAATGTTTTCTTATTTAATATAAGATCGTTGTTCAATGCAGTGCAGCCGCAACTGTTGTTGTTTTTCTTCAAAACAAGGGCATGTAGAAATAATTTTGCAGAATAATAACAACAGCGACAATAACAAATAGAAAAGAAAAAAAAATGAAGTGCCCTAAACGTAAAGACAACAACAAAGGCGAGCAACGTAAACAACATTAGATCAATTTCCAACATTTGTAACAATTACAACAACAACATGGCAGCATTATCAACATATTTTGTTCATATTCTAAATAAATATTTTAAAACAAATACTTCGTAGATCATTTTCAGTAATAAAAGAATCGATAATATTTAACTAATATTAGTTGTTGATATTTTATGGGAAAATAGTAGGAAAATTTTGGATTGAACATGGAGTTGTTTTGGATATTGCCAAGTAATGTTGGTTTTTAGAAGTTCCAAATTAATTTCATCAGTCGACTTATACTGACTGTAGTAATTTATAGAGGCTCTTAACATATAGTTTTTTTTGGATATAGTTAGTGGTTTGTTTGTTTGTTAAATAATTGAAATGAAGTATTTTTTTATGTATTTTTTTTAAACAATAAATTGCTAGCATATATATAACAAACACATGGTTTGTATATTTGATATATATTTTTGTATATACTTATTTTATATATTGTTAAGAGTATGTCAGCTGGTAAACCTCAAATAAGTCTATTAAAACGATGGCATATTATATCGTATTATTTATATATTTTACATTTCTGTTGCTGTTATTTTTTTTAAGTGTTTTAATAAAAGTTTAAAAAAACTCAAAAACAACAAAATGAATCAGAGTTATTGGACCAGTAATTGTATATGTATATAAATACATATCTCATATCTACTATATATGGAGATATATGCATTTTGGTGAATATTTAGATTGCAGTACACTTTTTACCATTTCTATCCCAAAATGTTTATTATTTATATAATTTGAAGTTACATACCAAGTGCCGTGCCAACCACATGCTTTTCTACAATTTCTATTTTATATATTTATATATGTATATATATATGTATGTGCATATATTATTTTATTTTATTAATTTTGTTTTTATGTTTTCAAAATCGAAAGAATCATCCTATGGCAGCCCCCTCTACGTAAAAGGATTAAATTTTTACTAACGATGGCTCCCATATCAAGCTTATAAAAGCACTGAAAAATAATAAGAAATATTAAAAAAATCGTCGTCGTGTTTGGTAAAATATACTTATATTAAGGATGACCCAAGCAAAAATGTTTATGCAATATATATCTATTGAATTTTTTTTATTCATTATTACATTTAAACATATATGTGATATAATATATTCGATTGTTTCTTAGTTAAATATTGACTCTAATTATTTGCTATTAATGTTCAAGGCCTAAATAAGTTTTTTTTTTGACACTAAACCAGCTTATTTGAATTTTTAAAAGACACTTTACAGTGTAATATCAAAATACTATCTTATTAATTAACTATCTTGAAAATAAAATTGGTTAATAATAAAAATATTTCCGAAGTCCCAGTAAGTAGTTCTACAAACATTGTTGGGATGAAAGCATAGAAGAACCATATAAAATTTATTATGGTGCTTTATGACGGTTTTTGTCAGTCGTAAAATCTCCCTTCCAATGTCACTGTCTTTTGTTCTTTATCTAGTCCATTTGGGTTAAGCTATTTCTTGCACATTAGGACACATTCGTACCTGTTCGTACCACCCCTTTTGCAATTTATAATTCAAGCATATTGGTTATAACAAAACCTAAAGTAATCATAATAGATGTGTCTTATTTTATTTCAATTAAAGTATATAAAAAAAAGAATTTATAATTTTTTTTATTTTCCATTATACATTATTTCCAGGTACAAAATCAGCACAACTTTAACTAAAAAAAATTAATTCTTATTCAACAATATACGTAAAAGAAATAATGTAAAAAAAAATTGTAATAAACAAAAAAAAATAATTCTTATTCTAATCAAAAAAAAAAAAACAGAAAGAGGAAGAGAAGAAAAAAAACTATGCACGAAGCAATAAAAACAATTTTTCTTTGCCTTGCCGGGCACTTACCACAACTGCTCTAATGACGTCACTAGCGCGATGGGTGTATTTAGATAAACCAAAAGAAATACTATCGACAAACAAAAAAATAATAAAAGAAAAAAAGTCCTTTTTTTCTCTACTTCTCTGATCCTTGAGCAATGTTAATAAAACTTATGTTACTCATCTTATTATTTAATATACATTATTCTACCGTAGTGACCACTGTTTTGTCGTCAGTGCTGTCCACCTTGCTGTTGCTGCCACCGTTACATTTCCTTATTATTTCTAAAGCACCATATAACTTTAATTTAAATAAAATAGTTTTTCATGAATTAATTGTTTATTTAACATTCTAATTTCAATTTTTTATTTAAATAGGATAGTTTTCAAAAATTTATAGGTTTACTTAGTATTTTAACTTTTACTTTAATTTTGGTTTAGTTTATATTTTTATGTTCGATTTTTAATTTAAATAAGATAATTTTTCAAGAACTTACAGTTTGAGTTAATATTTTAACTTTTACTTTAACTTTAAATAAAACTTATTTTTCACTTTTAATTGGTTTAGTTAATATATTTTAACTTCAATTTAATTTTTTATTTGGAACAAAAAAATAGTTTCAGTTTTATTCAGAAAAGAACAGTATCAAAAGAACAACTCCAAAAACCGTAGAAAAAGAAAAAGACAGCATCCACCGCGAACTACCCTTTTTATATCTCCTATTTTTCCGTAATCCAGAGTCCTGTTACTCTATAAAGAGTTTCTTGAACTTAGTTAGTGTGCCGCTTTCCAGTTACTAATTGTAACTATTTACATTTACAAAACTTGTACACTTGGCAGCATTCTCTCATTTTTTTCGTCCAGATCGTCCAAAGCTTTCGCCTTCCTTCGCTTTGCTTTGAATAATCAAAAGAAAGAAACGAAATGCAAAAGCTTTTGGGCACATTTTATTTCTTTTTGACAGGCACGTGCAATGCATATTAAAATTAAAACAAATAATTAAATTGCACATTTTTAGTTAAAATCAAAAATATGACATGTGGACATCAGCTTAGGGTAATTATATGTAATACTATTATTTTGATTTAATAATCATTTAATAATCATTTTATATAGGCATTGGGTGAACTGATGGTGCTGGTGTTGGTGCCTGTGGTAATGTTGTAGTAATTGCCGTTGGAATTTCACTCGCATCTAGTACAGAATTTCTGGTTTGCGAGACACCGTCAATAGACACAAAACATTCATTCATCACTATTATGCTGCCGAGCACGTTCTATTGAAGTTGTAGGCGTATCAGTAGCGTGAACTACATTTGAAAATAGACGCCTTTGCTGGGACCAGGTGCCAATGGTACAGCCGGCGGAGCATTCACACTTATTGGTGTGCTGGAATGATTTGGCTTACGTGACAAGCCCGAGGAACGCGTCGTATTTTGGGTAACTGTACTGTCTCTTGGTACGAAATTTTTCTGCTTCAATTTAAATTTACCCACTAATCCTCGGCCTGTAACATTTACTACTTGTCCAGTATTTATCCACGCTTTTACAAAATTTTTAATCAGAGTTATTCTAACCGGAGAAAGCGTGATCTCATATTTTAGTGCAATATGTCGTTTTAGTTTTACAAGAGATACCCCTTGCCTGAAGTATAATTCTTGCAAAGACTCTATTACCATATCACGTGTAGTTTTCATATTTATTTGTTAGTTAAATTAATTTGTGTTGAACAATTAAAAATGCAATTTAACATTGAAATGAAATAAAACAATGCTCACATACATATGTGTACAAAAGAAATGTTTTTTATTTAATACATGATCATTGTTCAATACAGTTGCAGTCGCAACTGTTGTTGTTTTTCTTCAAAACAAGAAAAAAAAATGAAGTGATCTAAACATAAAGACAATACCAAAGACGCATTCAAGCCAGCAAAGGCGAGCAACGCAAACAATATTAGATCAATTTCTGACATTTGTAAACATACAATTTATAACAATTACAACAACAACAGAGCAGCCACTGTACAGTAGCGAAATTTAAAATGGCCATCATCTGAAGCAATGTTGGCACTACACAATGTACGACCATAATTTCAGCTGGAGTATGAATAACCTCATAGGACTTTACTTGTTCCACGACTTGCAAGGGAGTAATACGTCTTAAAGTTGGAAAGGCAGTTATACGTCTCTCTGAACAAGACATTAAAATTAAGTCAATGTAGTTATATATCTTGACTAGTAAAATTCAAGTTAAAATAATTCAAGTAGAATTCTAGTTAAAAAAAATAATTAGTCAATGTAGTTAAACTTCTTGACCAATAATATTTTCTTTAGAATTTATGCTAACATTGATAAACACTGATCAAAGTTAAAACCTAGCATAAAATTCTAATCCCAAACTAACGAGATTTTCTTCTAAGACTAGCAAGAGGTGTGTCGTCTGACAATAACACATCGATAATATAGGTCTTGAAGGTCTTGAACAATTGAACAAGATTGAACAGCTTCCAGAAAATAATCACAGTCGTCAAATTATTAAACTACCATTATATTATAAACCACATTCCTAAATTTTCTTTCAAATATAAATTTGAATTATTCTATCAAATTGTCTTTAACTTCCGAAAATAGTATAAAATATTGCAACGACATCTGGACAACAGGTAAGCATACCCCAGCACTAGTAATGAATAAGAGAAGTCGTTATAACATATGTGTTAGTTTATAATTGAAATTCCTATCTAAATTAGTAGGTTTATTAATGTTTATGTGAATATTAAAATAAATATTATATTTAAATAAACATATACAGTAAAATTGATAAGTGATCATTTTACATACCATATATGTAGATTGAAACCAAGAGATCTTATCAAAGTCTTGCTAATGCAGGTT